GGGCGGATGATCCCTTCAGGCCCAGTGGTGTGAGTGGCGATACTGGGAGGGTAGAGGGAGAGTGGGTTGGAAAAGGGGAACCGATTACAAGGGATCTACATGTGACCTCCTCCTCCCTGGGGGACGGACAACAGAAAAGTGGGTGAAGGGAGATGTCGGACAGGGCCAGATATGACGGAATAATAATTTATGGATTGTCGAGGGTTCGTGAGGGAGGGGGGAGCGGGGAGGGAGGGGAAAACATGAGGAGCTGATGCCGGGGGCTTAAGTGGAGAGCGAATGTTTTGAGAATGATGAGCGCAATGAATGTAGAAATGTGCTTGACACAATTGATGTGTGTATGGATTGTGATAAGAGCTGTATGCGCCCCTAATAAAACGATTTAAAAAAAAGAAAGCCCCTCCCCCCCCCAAAAAAAAGAAAGCCCCAAACCCATTTGCTGGGTCCACCATGGGCAGTAACCTCTGGCTGCACCAGGGGCGGGGAAGGCGGCTGATCAGAGATCATTGCAGGGCCAATTACTGCCGTTGTGTTTCGGTCAAAATGTGACACCTTGACTTTTGAGCTCCCTCTTGATCCAATGTATGGTTGTTCCCGGTTTTAATATATTCCGCTTTGTGTTTGATAGACGGTTTTCTCAGTCCCAAGCTGTCCCGGTTGCTACGCAGTTGGTGTTTTGCTTAAATTGTGTATGTTTTCCGGTATATGATGCCCAGGGAAGGCAAACCTATAGAGAGAACCACTGGGTTTTGTCTCAAAGGGCCATGTCGGGGGAGGTGGACGGGAAATGGAGAGCAGCCACCCCGAGTCCATGAAGCAGAGCCCTCCTGGAATTGACCTTAGCCATGGCTGCCCACACGCTTGGGGATGCGATTGAACTAGTGAAAGGCAAGATGTGTGAACCGTGCATTGGGTAGACAGTAAAGAATAAGTAAACGCGTTATTGTCTTTAAAATGGCAAGGACACACGGTGGGCCATCAGGGACATTAGCTTTCCTCAGGAGGCGCTCAACTTTGCATATCCTTCAGGGGCCTTGTAGACAATCTTCAGGTCTACCTGGGTGAACTAGCGGAGTGGATCTCGGAATAGGCCCCCTCCTTGCTCCAGATCAGCCCCTACATTTTGACTGTTTGTTTTTTCTTTTGGCACACGGGATGTTCCAAAATGATTTCCTAACATCTAAGTGCACTTTAGTCCCCACCCCACAGCTCAGCGGCCAACCCCAGAAAAGCTTGGGGCTGCCGATTTGGATGATATACGTGCCTTTGCATTCCTAGCATTCAGTATTCAAAATGCTTAATCATTGGGGCGATTTCCCTGTTTCCATTGTGCAGGTAAGCACATCAGGATTCTGATCACCTACTTGTATGTCTATGGACTTGTGGTTGCCTGTGGTGGCCCTTTCTTCCTCAGATCACGGGCCTTGGTCTGGGACACGGGCCTGCCTGTCATGCCCGTCAGCTACTTACAAGTTGGGTGCATCTTAAGTGTCTCTTCAGAGGGGCTTAGAGGAACGAATAGCGAGGAATCCATTCCAAGGCCCGGAGGAATGGCAGCCACTGATAATAATGTGGTGAATTTCCGTATGTCAGCGTGCAAAGCTCAAAAAAGCAAGCTTGCAGTACAAGACACACAGCACAACCCGACCTCTGTCAAACCTGGAAGACACCTGTGATGATACAAAACCTGGGAGCAAACACAAGACGACACACACGTTATGGCTTCCTGTGAAGGGTAGGACTGGAGGCGGGAAGCGTGTGTGCTTTTCACGGTGACGTCTGTAGAGCTTGATTTTTTTCCCCCCCAAAGAGAATGCTTAAGTTTCATAACGCACTAAACATACCTATGAATAAATGTGTTTTCTGAGTACAACAATGTGGAGTTATGGAAAAGACAGGGAGCTGAATGAACACCAGACTCTCAGATTTCTCTCCATAGCGTGAGTAGCCAGAAATGGTTAAAAAATCCACTGGCTGAGCTATTTGTCTCACTGGGGTGCAGAACCTGCAGGAAGTGGCCTCTGAAGGTCCTCCGGAGAAACGCGTGGGTGAGAGTTCTACACCTGGAAGGGTCTAGTGTCACCAGTCAGATTACGGGGCCCTTCAGCCAACAGTGAAGGAAGCACAGCCCCATCAGCTAAGCGCGCGCGCACACACACAAACACACACACACACACACACACACACACACGCTCACGCTCACGCTCACCCACCCACCCACGGCACCATACAAATGTAAAACTGTTAATTGGGCACAAAGTCTTTTCCATTCCCTCCTAGTGAACAAGAGGAGCAGCATGGTCTCTTTGGCTCTCAGCAGCTCAGAAGGAACAGAGCCTTCTTTTCACCATACCAAACTGAGCCACTTTGCCAGGCCTGAACAGGTTTGAGGGGAGGGTCTCCAGACCCATCTCTTGGATGGAGGCGTAGTCGATTCCCATGGCTCCTGTCAGAACTTACCACACGTTTCTCAGTTTGGAAGTACAGGCATTTATCTTAGCGATCTGGAGCTCAGGAGGCCAGGATTGGTACCTGAGGAGCTTGCCGCACTCTTACCTGGATCTGGCCCCTTGATTACATTGGATCCACCTGAAGGATATAGGTTGATGGATCCACCTGAACACCAGAGGTTACTCGCCCCATGACAAGCCCGTGAATCACATCGGCAATGTCCCATTGGCCGTGCAGGGTAACACAATCTAGACCATGAGTGTTCTGGAGGGTCCAAACTGCGTGATGCAGATGGACAGAACATTTTTTGCAGCCCCACTGGAAACCAGAGTGATGGAGAAAGGAACCCAGACTTGGACTTTTCCTCAAGTTTATTTCTTTGATAAGCAATTGGAATGCAAAACATAACATCACTCAGCTTGAAGTGGGAACAATTGGAGTAACAATCACAGAATCCCTTCCCCCTTTCTTCTTGGCTTGGTGCGTGCGTGCGTGCGTGCGTGCGTGCGTGCGTGCGTGCGTGCGCGTGAATAGCATCAGTGGGAGAAGCCTGGCTGAGAGGAACAAGCCTCTAGGGAGGAGGGCCTGTAGTCAACTCTAGTGGGTCAGGGGAGAGGGCAGTGGGAGTGTTGTTGCTGTCGCCCAGAGCACCCACGGCGAGTGTCCTGGAGTTCTCCCTGCTCTCCCTCTGGACTTTCCTTCTCTCTTAGGAAAGGATCTCGTGGGGAAGAGGTCCCTGGAGAAAGACTAGGGAATGTCATGCAGTGTAGGGATAAACAGGCTTCAGCCAGGCCATCTGATATGGTTGGTCCGGCCTCTGTGAAGGGACGCCAAACTTTAGCGTTTGTAATCGATCTGCATTACGCAGTCCTATTCTAGAGTTAGGTGCTGAGCACCTTTGTTAAACTTAATCAAAACGATCTCATTATTTCGCAAATACTCTCACGTACTGCCTCCTGAGCCATGTGCTGTTCTGCTTGGCCCAATCTTTGAGATGCCCTGTCTGACAAGGAGAACTGCAAGACACTGGGTGGGACTCACCTAGTCAGCTCTCTGGGGAGCAGGGCACCTACAAGCCCTATTCCAACTGCGAACGTTACCGGAAGAGGCAGCAGAGTAAACGGGGTGACACGGCTTCGTTGAGCCTAAGAAGTTCCATCGAATGCCACTCCATCGCACATTTCTTCGGCCAGGCTAGAGGAGAAAAGCTGGGGGGCAATCAGGGAGGTGGGTCAAAGCCGAAGCTTTGGTTCTTTCTGAGGTGATTCAGCGTGTATGCCCGATGAAGGAAAGCGAGGGGGGTTCAGGGCAGGATCAGGAAGTAATCCGATCAGACTGCGTCCCCGTGAGCAGGTCAGGAGGTTCTCCTGGGAATGGCACAGCGACTGTCGGAACAAGAGAGCTAAGTGCAAAGACTCCCGCCCATCCCCTGCCTGAGAGCCTTGGAGACGGTTGCCCTCCCTAAGTTCCCCAACCCTCTAGACATGGAGACGATAGCTCCTCCTCATCCGCTGGAGACAATTCCGCTGCGTCTGCAGCTCCGCGGTGGCCAAACTCTCTCAGCAACTCCCACCGGTTCTCTCTGTGCTCCGGACAACAAGGACGGGATCCTCCCGAAGGGCCATCCTAGCCTCCTCTGGGGAAGCTAGGGTGTGTTTCTGGTTCCTACTTTCACTCCTGGCCTTCACGGCCGGGAGGTACAAACTTAGACAAAAGAACCTCTAGAGAACCGGTGGGGGGAGCAATCCTCTGCGTGACAGTCATTCACCAACACCGGGGTGTCTTCGAAACACACAGCCTGAACAGAGAGCTCCGAGGATGTGTTCTAGGATTGCATCCTAGCCCTGAGTCGAAGATCATGTCATTGCGGCACGACCAAATGCCCTTCAGAGCCGTCATCAAACCGATAATTAAAGAGGCAGGGCCAACACGGTCCCAAGTCCAGAGATAATAACAATGAAAGGGGAATGAAGAACACTCTGCAAGTCACCCATCATCGGTGTGACTGTGACGTGCAGAAGGGAGGGAATGCGACAGGACCCAGACATCCACGGATGCTCGCGGGCTTGACTGCTTTTGTTACAAAGAAAGAGAAAGACGGGAAAAAGAGCAGAACTCAAATATGCTGCTACCCCCGCTTCTTGGCTGCGCGTGGTTCGCCCAAACTTTGTGAAATGTGAAGGTGTAAAACGAAGCATCATCCTCTAGCAATGAACCTGAGCTTGAGGTTTGGGGCGTGAATGCCAACCTGTGTGGGGCTGCTTACCCTCAACAACTATGCAATATGTCTTCTGTCAAGTGAGACACCTTGTGCACAGTAAGGCTCGCTCTCTGCCTGAAGCTCTGAGAACAATAGGTACACGTGTAAGGCATCTCCCCTGTATGGACTCTTAGGTGAACAGTGAGAGTTGGCTTTTGCCGAAAGGATTTCTCACAGTAATGACACCGAAAAGGCCGCTCATCTGTGTGCGTTCTCTGGTGTAAAGTAAGAGATGTCATTCGATTGAAATTTCTATCACAAACATGGCACACATAGGGCTTTTCACCCGTATGAGCCTTCATGTGTCTCTGAAAACTCGATAGGTGACGTAACTGCTTCCCACACTGGTTGCAGGTATAGGTCTCTCCTGCCACGTGCGTGTTCTGGTGCCCTACAAGGTGTGACTTGCGAGAGAATCGCCTTTGACATATGCTACACTGGTGGGGCTTCTCCCCTGCGTGGACTCGTAGGTGTCTGGTAAGGTCTGACTTACGGAGGAACGTTTTCCTACACACGGGGCAGTGGTGAGGTGCTGCCGAGTGAACCACCTGGTGCCCAGTAAGATGTGACTTTCGAGCAAAACGCTTATCACAGTGGGGACACTGGAGATGTTTCTCCCTGACACTCTTTTGCTGCGAGGTTTTCCCGGCCGCAGGCTGTCCCTGGTGAGGGCTTGCAGCCTTTGCTCCTGCAGGGGGCCGCTGACCATCCGGAGGCGCCGACACGCCCGGGGGGCTGACGCATCTGTTTCCCGGTTCACTGTCTGCCTGTACAACTCGAGCGCTCACATCGTCCTCTGCAAACTTCTCTTCCGTGATGTCAAAGGGACACAGAGCCCTGAGCTCTGCCTGTTGTGAGAGAGCAGCACCTCCGTGTTCTGCACGCATCTCAGAATCTAAGGGAAGAAATAGAAACTGCCGACGTTACTGCATTCCGAGAAGGGCAGGAGAGCTCAAGAGTGTGTGATCGCTGAGCTTCCTGCGGAACATTAAGCGTGCCTTCCCTTGGGCGGCCAATTCATTCTTTTCACCCCGTGTAGACCCTCACGGGGCAGTAGCGAACGTGGATGACCTCCATTCCATCTTGTTTTCATTACTGCCCTCCACGAGCTCCTTCCCCAAGGACAGGCCTCAAAGAGCGACAAAGCTTTTCACAAACGTCCGTCAAAGGAGTTCGCAGACGTTAAGTTCTCCGTAATATGTTCCCTAAGGCGGCGCGCGCGCGCGCGCG